TTAAGTGGATTCAGGACATTGTTTCTAGTCTTCCGTGAGTAATTTTTTCTTGTACATTCTAGACAACGTCCACCTTAAAATTGTAGTGCTATGCATCTCCTTTCCGACATTACTATTGGTTTATTGGATTTTCATGCAGCTTTCTTCATTTGTTTTTATTAAATTTCTTCTGATTAGTTTTAGCTTTTTGCAGCATATTAAAAAAATTCACTTTTCAAAATACTTTGAACTTTTAGGAGTTCTTAAACTTAATATGAGTCAATGAATTGAAGCCAAAACAAATCCTAAAGTAATATTAAAATGCATTGAAGGATACAGAATTCACAACAGGGAGATAATAAGCTCACTCCAGAAGAGGATTCGCTTATCTTTTAATACTACTTATCTTTTAATATTCAACCTAAAGGCCAATTCTCCATGAAAACTTCTCTGAGTATCTCAGGTTTAATGAATCAGTTTGTAAACCCTTTGAAACAACTATTGGGTCTCATGCCTGTTGATCTCTGCCTTAGGTCAGGTTGTCTAGAAAAAGAGATGGAGATGAAGGTTCTTGTATAAGTAATATGTGAAAGGAGTGTGCTATGGTGATCCTGAAAAGGAGAGAAGAAAGAAGAATAACACAGGGAGAGATGTTAGACAAAGAAATGGGTTTAGCTGATGTCTTTCCTCAGCCTCAGATTCCAAGGGTAGCTCTGGAGCATGAAAGACATCAGAGAATTGTCTTTATATGCAATAAATACACATCACAGGCATCAGAGCCTTTAGTACTCCACATCAGTTAGTCACTGGTTGCAGGCTTCCCCAGGAGGGGGACACAACCACCCAAACATATGTCATCAGCTAAGGGCAATTCTCAGGGGAAGGATGCAGCTAGGGGCTTTTAGCAGCAAATGCAGCAACTGGGAGATGGGTGCCCCACCATGTCCAAAGGAGATTGGGTAGAACCAAAGATGCATCTTACACATGTGAGATACAATTAATATTTAGTGATCTCTATTGTTTAGAGAGTTCAGCCAAAAGAGCGACTTTTCTATTCACCAAAAGTTTTATTATTGGCTGTTACTTGTTTTGTTCTTATGCTTATGAGCTAAGGGCATCATTAATTGGATTTTTAATTTGATATTAAAGTAATAGAAGGAATACAAAAACCACTAGGGTGTCACAAAACTAACCCTTAAACTATTTAGTGAAAGCAATTCTATGAAATTTTTAGCTGATGATTTATTTCTTTGGCTTTTGTTCAGAGTAGAAAAAAGTAGGATTTGCATTGATCAACTGTTAAAAAAAAGTTAAAAGGAGAAAATATGAATATGAAAAGGGAGCCATTGATGTAAACTCCTGTGATTTTTTGAAAGAACCCTCCGACTAAAATTCTATTGCCAAAATTTTATGTAATTTTTAACAATTTGAAACAAGTGTCAAGCTTTCAGAAAAGTTGCAAGGACAATAGGAAGAGATTTTCTTTTCTTTTCTGAGAAGTTGCCAACATGATGTCCTATCATCCCGAATATTCTAATGTGTACTTACTACAAATAAGGGAAAACTGCTCCATAACCACGACACAACCATCAAAATTAGGATATTAACGTTGACACATTACTTTGATCAAATGCTCAGACCCCATTCACGTTTCCCCAGCTGTCCCACGGACATCCTTTACATAGCAGTAAGAATTTGGCGCAGAATCACGTGCTGCTTTCAGTTGTCGTACCCCTTTAGTCTCCTTCAGTCCAGAAAAGATCTTCAGTCTTTCCTTGATTCCTGATCTTAACAGTTTTGAAGATTACAGACAGCTGTGCTTGGCAGTGCCTCCAATTTGGGTTTGCCTGATACTCCTCCTGATCAGGTTCAGGTGATACGTGTAGTGGCAGGACTGTCACAGAAGGGACACCGCGCTCCTCTCATTGCATTCTGTGAGGCGGTGCGAGATTCCAGTTTGTACTGTTACCAATGACCTTAATTCTGATTACTTAATCTGCCAGGATTTTCTGCTATAAAGTTACTTGTCTTCCCCTTTGTAATTATTTTATAAAAGGAAGTATTTTGAGATGGT